GATCGTTCGCTTTCGATTTATGGCACAAACTTTTTTTACTGTATATTATCTACACCTAGAGACTGTTATTACGAGCAAATCAAAGTGGTTCTCAAACAGTATACAACTTTACTGTTCTGATAAAAGTTCATTAAAAACAGTTTTTTTGATGTTTATGTGGTACTCCTCGGCTCGATAAATTTTGATAATTTATTTCATAATCATGATGGAAAAAGCAATACATTTCAGTGAAATTACTTATGGAGAGGTATTGATAAAATATTTAACTAACTAAAACAGCGCCGTTTAATTGGATAAAGTACGGAGAAAGTTGACTTTGATTTCAGAAGTATTTTACAGAAAATCCCTCATAAAATTCAATAATAATATCTATAATAAATATTACGTATAATGCGAGCAATTAAACGTAACACAGACGGTTGGGTAGACCATATGCTGTATTGAAATAATTTTTTAATCTCTATTCTTAGAGTAAAATGGAGAAAAGATTTACTGCACCCCACTATCATTCACCACCATTTGTAAAAATCAACGCAAGTTGAGCAGAAATTAAGCTATCGCAATCGCACTCAAGCTTTCGTTGAACTCTACCGTCGTCCCTACAAACAGATTGTCTTCAGCCCACTTGTACCAGAAACACTGTAGTCTAAAATTTTATTGCCAAAAATGGGACGGACAGTAGAAAGTACAGTAGTATGGAATACTAATGGTTCACACTAGTTCACCCGAATTTGTCAGAGAACATTTAGTAGGTAGTTGTCCGCAGGGTCAGATTTGTGCCAAGTTAAGAATAAGTAAAATAACTTATCATTCGATTTGTAATTTAGAAATAAATTATGGATATTTTATTTGGACCACGTGCCTATGTAACACTTATTAATCCCGCATAGACGACTATTTTTATTCATTTTACACATAAAATTACGTATTTTCGTTGGTGACTGAGTGAGTGAATGAGTGAGACCTGGACTGTTCTACTTTCTAATATCTGGTGACTACCTGCATGTGACAAATTTGAGTTGCAAATATTTCTTGCCATTGTACTGCTTTCTGTCTCGTTATTAGCAATAAAATTTTATAGGCTATATTTATATTTCCTAAACTGTACTGATTAAAGTTTTTCTAAACCATGGAGGTAGGATGACAGGAAGGAGCATGCCTCATTTGACCAACGAATGTTGAAGAAATGACATAAAAACTAGGATATTTCTAACAACATAAAAACTCAAGTAAATTTTACTGCTACTGCTTTTATATTCTATATTATTAAATTATTTTTATGTTTTATGTCTAGTACCCGGCAAACGCTTTCCACTGAAACAATCGGTTTCTCGGAGAAGCTGGAAGAGCCTTTTATAACCATATTCAAAAGCGCGGTGCCAGTCACATTTTCAAACTAGCTTCCTTCCTCTCATTTTACCTCCATGGTCTAAACTTATAATCAAATGACGTCAATTACTTTATGAGGGGTATCATTTTCTGACCTTCCTCCGGATCAAAACCTTGTCTAAAACTGTCAATCAAAATCACTGGTAGGTATAGTCTTCGAAATACTACAAGGTTATATGGCCCCACTAAATTGGGATGTTACAATTGCTTTTGTTCGGCAGGTTACCCACTCAAACCTAGCGTCATAAATCAAGGATTTGTCTCAATATCTTGCCACCTCAATATCTACTGTTGGGTAATTCGCTTAAAACTTTTTGTACATTAAACCAAATACAGTTTGTCTTTTACAACTGTGGGTTTGCCTTATTAACTGCTCCATTGTCGTCTTCACAATACCTTGATTTTATAACAGCCATATAACCTTGTAGTGTTTCGGAGACTATATTTTCTGTCCGGACCGTAATGTGATTCGACTTTTTATTTAAGCGAGTGAGGCTTGTTCCAGATTACTTACATTAATCGGGACTACATTGTCATTAACTCATTATGTAACCAAAATAAATATTCATTAGTAAAACTTTGAGATTAATTCTAAGGAAGAGAATTGCTAACATGAAAGTTGTAGTTTTCACAGAAGATTTTAATTAAGTCCGGCTCTGTTAGCCGGTGAATGGAACAATATTGCCTGAGAAGTTTAGGCGAACTTTACCACTATTTCAGCCTATACAGTTGTGTACCTATAATGACGTCAAATCTTATGACTTGAAACAATTATACGATGTACATATATGATAATTTTATGAAGAGCGATAATTGCCATTTATGTATTAAGGGCATAATTAGGGAGATTATGACCCAACGAAGGGGGGTTTTTAATTTCCCGAGGGCCACAATTGACAATTAAGGCCGTGGTACATATTACAACGTTTTATTCTATTTTAATTTCTAAAATATTTTTAGCGAAATATTGAGTATTTCCGGTAAGATTGTGTGAATTGTGCCGATGTGAACTTTAATACTGGCTATTATTTTGATGTTGTTGTGGATACCACTTTGTTTATTAAATAATTCGACTTTCAAAATGCAAACTGAAGAAGCGGAAAACTTTTACTCAAAAGAAATTTTACAAGCATTTTAAGTCGGCCAGGAAATGATTTGATGAAATATTATTTTCTCAACTTTAATAAAATTGTTGAATATCGAAGCTTGTTTGAATAATTAATTAATGTAAATGAATAATCAATCGTTGCTTAGCAATGTTTGACTGATTTATGCCATAAAGGCCAATTTATGCTCCCATTTGGGTGCTTATCAACAAGATTATGATTCTAGAATAGAATAAGATTAGTTTAAATGATGTACGGAATTTAAAACAATGTAACGAGTGCAGTGTGGAACCGTTTACTTGAATTCCTGGCCAAAATACCAAATTGTAATTTATCCAAATCTTAATCCGTTTAAAAGACTACTGTTTCCTCTTTCTTAAAAAATAAATATCGCAACTTGTAACGGATAAAGTGTTGGCCTTACAGGCAGCGAAAGTGGAGCATTTTTAATCTTTTATTACAACAAAGTGATACAATATTTTAGTCAGTTTGAAAGGATTTTTATTTTATTGAGTTTATTGTTTTTAAATAACATGGTAAGCACAAGGTCAGCAGGTTGTTTTGTACTGAACAAACTTTTATTTACTGCAAATACTCATCGTTTTATCTGTTAATATGTAGGTTATGTTCAATGTAAAACTATCAACTCTGCATTGAGCTGTAAGATTACTCTGGAGAACTGATAACATTTTTATTTTAGATACCAAACAATGTCTGGTATTTGTGTACTTACTACAAAATTCAACTCCACTTTTTGCAAACTTTTCGTTTTCTGGCAGTTTAAAATCACTTTGATTCAGATGTGTCAATTTGACTATTTATGATCTTAATTCCCCACGTGAACCGCATATTTTAGAATAGGTAATTTTACAATGGGCAGAGCTCAAAAAAGTCACACGAATCCCGAAATAAGGATTTGAAGGCTTATTGATGAAATAATACACGAAGATTTCGAGAGTAACGACGAATGAAGAATTTTAATTTATTCTATGCAGAAAATAAATAAAAATACAGGAGAGACCTTTTCGTTTTAGATCGTTTAGAACCACCAAATGAAGAGGAAAAAGTTAGAGAAATAATTCTGTCCACATCAGAGTATACAAATATTGATAGTGAACAATAATTCTTCGTTTTTAGTTTTAATACATTTTTTAAGTCGTTTACGTTATTTTTGTTGCATTACATGTCGCGAAAACAATTGTTAGAATTTTGTCCAGGGTTTCATCACATCGGTCTCACTGTGGAGTGCAAAAATTTTACAGATTATTCATTCGTTGAGGAAGAAGTAGCTGCTTTTAAAACGAGATGTAAAAGTCGGCGTAAACAGGGCTAGGCGATAACACTGTTGAGATTTTACTACATAAGTAATACATAATCAGTAAAGAACATTGAAATATGCAACAACAAGACCTTTAGAAAAGTTGTAGATAATACCGTTATAAAAGCTCATCCTGAGTATATAAATTTATGAATAAGTTATGTTTATGTCTTCGTGTCAGTTGTGAATGATTTTATAATAGCGGGTTTTTGCACGCAGTAACGCTGTTCCGTTATATGCTATTTGGTACTTAACTCATTAAGAAGAACGCAATTTGGATAGCGTCTCACGCAATTTAAATCCGGATAGAGAGTACCAATAACGTATAACGAAACAGCGCTATTTCGTGCAAAAATTCCCTATTAATATACTTATTAACGCTACTCAACCACTACGAGTAACCAATTATTAGTTAAAAAAATTAAATAAATAACGATTAACTACGGCAACAACATACCTATTTTTCATTCAATTTTGCTAATGAAAGTCTGTATTACGCATTTTACAGCTTGTACTGCTTACTAGTAATAAAATTAAAGCAAAAATTCAGTCTATTGACGTCTTTGTGCTGATTTTTTTTTATAATTTGTTGTCTATCTCAAATATGACTAACAGAATTGTGTTAAGAGGTGACTGTCGTTTTATGTGTGAAAATATAGACTGCAATTTTTTCACTGAGGCTATATCTACAAAAGTACCTATGCAGTTATCTTATAATAAAACTTACAATGAAATAATCTATGTCATTAACAATCAGTTCAGATATTTTACAGCATCACAAGTAAATCTGTCGAGTACCTATTAAAAAAAATCTCTTATCATAATCGATCTTGACCTTATCATGAGTTATCATCGTGAAACATAGTGATTTTAGTATTTCATTATATAAATAAAAGAGAGATAACTTTTGCAATAACACCTACCTACTAACATTTTAACGTCTTGAAATCCTTGAATTTCTCAACTCAGTATTAAAAACCTAGTGCAGGTCTGATGACTTTCATTTCGTACACATTTTATAAGAGTGTCATTATACAGAGGTTGTTGCCTTCGATAGCAATGTCCTCTAAATATGTGTAATTTTGGCAAAATGGAATTATCAAACTATTTAAACAATGTTTATCTCAGATCATTAAATTAAGCCTAATGCTACTGTCACTAACTTTCATATAAAAAAGTATATTTACCAGTAAGTGTATGGTGTGGGCACAGAGAATCCCAATGAGAACAGTTCCTATGACACCTATAATGATCCCTGCGGCTTTTACGGCACTAGGTATGGCTAGAATGCCAGTTCCTAAAGAACTTTTCAGTAAATGCATCAACGCTCCGGAAAACCTGGAAGAATTTTTGTGAAACCTTAAACAACCTAAACAGTAAGTAAATCCTTCTTACGTATTAGGATGTTCAACATTTCTGTGTTCATAAGGGTCATATTCTTTCTCGTTAAGGGTATCAACACTACCAACTGGAATTTTGTACTCATTGTCGGCTAGTTTGGCGCTAAAATAAATAAGATTTTTAACTGGATCGTGAAGATGTGGATAATACTCACGTTGAACTGAAATTGTCGACTGTGAACGTCGATGGGTATTTTTCTTTTTTATCTGTCATGATTCCGCAACAGAGTCATTCATTCGGATTTAATAATGAATGCAAAATCGCCTCACAATTTTGCAAAAAGTCGTCTGTCATTAATCTGTTCCTTCTTATCACGACTGAACCCTAAAATCCCAAGTTTACCGTAAAATTACTTTACAATTAATGCGATAAGATTTTTATTGTCAATTTTAGAATTATAATTAGATAGTTAATTCAGAAGCAATTAGGTGTTATGAAATCCCAGTAACCTAGATTTCGAATAAAAATAAAGTATACTGTAGAACTCACCTGAGCACGTTTACATTAAATCAGTCGCTTAATAATTATTAATTTACCCACAACACGATTGTATTTACGTACTACACGTAACACGCCATAGCGAGAGTACGCGAACACACTAAGTAAATTATAGCACCTGTGATGGTATATATAGGTTCATAAGTGACGTAAACAATTTTCTTCGAGCTCTTCCAAATTACTACTTTTATCAGTTTTGTTGACTCTGAAATTTCAATGTGTATGAATGTGTATAAATGAACTAGACCTCATATATTTCACAATATTTTAAAAAACCTCTGTGACGATTAACTAAACAGTATAAATATTTTAGAAACTTTTAACCACTGCCCCCGAAAATTTTACATCTATATGGAACAATTTGAGCTCTATGATTAATACCAATTCTCGTTATTTTATTATTTAGGTAAGTCAAAATCAACTACAATCATGGAAATTATTATTATCTGGTTGAACGATGTACATATGAAATGTTCACTTGCTATTTTCTAAACGATAGTGATGGAAGTATTGCCATATATAATATGCGAAATTAGCGACTAATGAAATTGGTCCACCTGCCTATTAATTTTAATTGTAATAATATCGAAAACGGAAATCGAAATTTGTTTAATTATACAAAAGACTAACGAAAAATTTAGATACGTAAATTTGCGACGGAAACTCATATGGCTTGTTATTTTATATGTGGCCTTATAATGTACCCTTACTTACTTGGCGTTAGTTGTAGAGGTCAAATTAATTTTATAGTCTATCGTAGAAAACTTTTGATACAATAATAACACTGATTTGTGATTATTTAACACTAAGTAAAATTACGTTATTCCTCTTTTTCAGACAGTTCATGCGGGTGTGCTAGCATTATCAAACTAAATACCTGTTATTTAATGATTTCATGAACCAACTGATACATCTGAAATTTTGAGAACACAATAGAGTTTTGATTAGTGTTATATGTTGCATATATTAAACTAGAACTAGGACAAATCATTTTTCACCCCGTTCGCAGTTCACTTCCCCTCCTCAGTGAACCCATCTAATATTTCGTCCCATATTTTACCCCCTTAGGGGCGTAAATTCCAAAACAAACAATCATTTTTATATATTGTTGCTATTAATATTACGAGAAGTTTAAATCGCTAATATTCGAGTTATATGTCAAGCTTTATCGTATCACAGACAACTAGGCTTAACGTTCGAGAATATGTTTACTAGTCGAGCGAGCGACCTGATCTGACCTGACCTGATTTTTGTTTTATGAAAGGGAAAATTCTCATGGGCACCGGGAATTTAGGATCGATCATCCCTGGTAGTGTCGGACTTTTACCGACTAAAACCCCTTTCTCCTATTTTTCAAGGTATTCTAACGTTTTCTCTACAATATTTTGTAGGGATAACTTCTCAAGGGCTTGGTATACTTCGTTTTTTTCAGTGGTCCCTTCAGAGCAATGAAACACGGTATGTTCTACCGTATCTAGGGCTTCTGCATATTATCTACACTTTTCTTCATCTTGCACGTGGAATCTTTCTAGATACGTTCCGAAGTTTCCATGACCGGATAAGAATTGTGTTAAATAGTAATCTAGGTTTTTGTTTTTGTTTGAGATCCACGCGTCAACGCTTTTTATGAGTTTGTCCGTCTTACCAGTATTTTGTTACCACCTTAACTACCATTTGTCCTCAATCTTTTCCTGGATTTCTGCTTTGTATGATTTATATAGGTTTATCCTTTTATTCCAACATTAAGTCAATAGGTAGTGTTCCAGTTATTACTTGGGATATTGTCCTCTAACCGCTGCAAACCCTTATCACCATTTGTCTCTGTATTGCTTGCAGATGCTGTAATGCCCCTTTATTTTCGATTATATACTTTCCCCAAATTGGCGCTTCATGCATTTTTCTTCTGTTTGTCATCGGTCCACTTGCGTTGGGCATAATTCTTGCAAGTTTCATGATACACCTTTGTATTTTTTTCGCAGTTTTTTTGAATGCTCCATAAATCTTAGGTTCCTACCAAAGTGTACTCTTAGATATTTAATGCTTTTCGACGATCGTATAATGGTGCCCTCTATTTCGATTTCTAACTTATTTAGCTTTCTTCCACGGAGTGCAAAAAGTGCAAAAGAACAGTGGTAGGTACGGCCATGTGCGCAAACTATGGGGGCAAATACCACCGCAGATGTGCAGAAATAGCGGCAAAAATTTTCGACGATAAACACTTTGAATGTTGTGAAAAATAGCAAACAAACGAAGATGCGGTATTCCTGGACGCTGTTGAGAATTTCCCTGCTATAGAAATGGATGCAAGATATTTCTCCTATATAATCAAACAAAAAGATTGTATTATCCAACATCTTCGCGAGACAATTATGTTCCTAAGGGAACTAATAAAAAATTGAATCCTTGCAAATGCCAGCTTAAGTGATCACTGCAAGCCTTTGTTTCTAAAATATGCCATCTTAACATTTCCATGTCTTTATATCTTCAGCATGCTAGTCGAAATCCAGAAGAAAAAGAAAATGATGATAAAAAACTCAGATGTTCATTCCTAGAATACCAGACAAGCTCACCATATCAAAACTGCTAAATACAAATACATGAAATCCATTAAAAACTTAATTGGATAATAATCTTCCGGAAACATACAAAAATCTTCCATTGACAACGTTCAAACACAAAATAGCGGAACATTGTAAAGCGCATAGTTTTTACTCGGTAGACGAATATAAAGACTCACCTCCAGTGTTGGGGACATATACTTTTAAAAGTATCTAGATACAGATTGTTTTCGATTTTTTCGAAATGTATCTTGATACAGATACAAGAAAACAGATACTTTTTGAAGCTTTGGCGAATAAAATAACTGAAAACATGTTTATGTATTTTTTATGTATTGTTTAATGAATTTTTTTAAATTAACAACCTTTCGAACGTATTGTCACCTAAATTATTTCTTCTAGGTGTCAGAATTTGGTTTCCGCTACTAAACACCCGTTCCACAGGTGCAGAAGAAGGGATTGTGGTATTAAATTTACAAAATAAACATTTTACTGTAGCATAGTTATTCAAGACTGAAAAATCTTTTCTTTTTTCCTGCAAATAGGCCATCGCTTCGCTGTTTGATATGTCGCAAATTGTGCAATATTTATTACGTACGCTTAAAAAGAATATGTTTTTGTTTTTATTCCCATACTACAGTGTCCAAATTGTGTTTGAGTATATTTAATAATTATCTCCAGCATTAAAATTAATATTTCAAAAGAATACGGGAAATGATTATTCTGTGCTGAAGGTCTGTTGTCGGCAACCTGTCATAAATTATTATTCTTCAATATCGGCTTACGATGTTTTTATGACCATGTCCGGTAATCGTCTATCCCGGTGCGGCAGGTATATACATTTTAGGAAGAATTGCTGGTTCTGTTTAAGGCAAAATAAGTACAATTCCTTAGAAAGGTATTTAAACTCCTTATAGGATCAAAGGCTGTCGGGCAGGCCGGAATCACCAGAGTGTAACTTTAAATTTTCAGATTTTTGTTGAAACTCATTTTATTTTAATCTCGTTTCGCGATTTCTGAGAATATATCACGATAAATTATTCGGAGGGTTGTAAAAATATTAATTTTATTGCCCACGATTTAAAGTACTCCAAAAGCTATAAGGTTATATGACCATCATAAAATTATCCCATTGTGTCGAAGTTAAGTTGTTTACAATAGAAAAGGTTTTAAGGTGGTAATTAACGTGCCCACTGCAGCTCGACCGGTTGCTGTTGGTTCGTTTAGGGGTGACTTTCACTAAATATCTAACTACCTAGTACTACTACCTGCAGCCACAAAGGGTTCCGAAATAACCAGTCGCTTTGAAAGCCGGCCCTGTTAAATCTGAGCAAGAAATGTTTAGAAGACGATTTATTGCCAACCCATAAGCTTAGTGCGAACTACACAAAGGACGTATTTATTTGCGGTCAACTACTTTTATGATGGTCATATAACCTTATAGATTTTGGGCTACTATACACTTAAACATAATCGGCACATTCTAGGGCAAAACGGACCTGCCAAGCCCACCTCGCGTTATGTGCTAATTGAAAAAATTAATCATTATGTAACACGCAATTATTATTTTCTAAAAATAATAACATACCTTATACAAATATTTTTACTATTAAAATTACTCTTATTTAATAACACAAATACAACCAGCGGGCCTACCGGACTCGGGTTGCTCAGGTACACAGATAAAATGTATTGTCCCGATAAGGGTAAAACGCAGTGAATAGTGAATTGTGGTTTATGGTTTTTAAAATACCATCTTACCATGGCTTAGATTTATTACCCCTCAGGATTATATTTAAAGATTTATAAGTACTGAAGGCTATTTAAAATATGAAAATTTCCGTAACAGAACACTATTATAGTGGACCTCTTACCTCTATTTTTGTTTATGTGACCAAAATCACCAACATGATGTATCAAAAATTACTACTAGTATAACTCAACTAATAACTACTGAAAAAAAAGTGAAATAAAAATCTGTATCTGCGCCATTAATTTTGTATATAGATACAGATACTAGATACCCAAAAATGTATCTAGATACTTTATTTAGATACAAGTATCTAGATACTACCCAACACTGCTCACCCCCTATTCATTTATAAAAATGTCTTGATAAATGTCTTAAATATATGTAGAAGTTTGTTTAATATTTTTAGGTCTTGTCATATACACATTTCATGTAGTTGTAAAAACTTTTATTGTATGTTGACGTGTACAAAAACAATATGTTTATATGTACAAATAAAAATTATTCTATATAATGTTCACTTCAGTTTTTTCATTTGCTAGTGCTAGACCCAGTTCTTTAATTTTCCCATGAGTATTTGTATTGTGGTTTCTGTTTTAGTTTTCGCTTGACCCTCGTTTCTCCCCAGTAGCAGTACGACAATATAATCGGCAAAATCGACTGCTGTTGCTCCGTCTGGTAGCTCAGCTCTTCATACTTCATAGTATGGGATGATGCACAGGAGCGGTCCCAGAACCGACCGCTGTGGAATTCTACTTGAAACTTGTTTCTTACGTCAATCGCTTAG